ATACCTAGAATTAGAGCTGCAGGTAAATATCATAGACTGTATAAAAGATGGACGTAGCTACCGTGACGTCACCCGTTGGTTTCTGCACTGAGAACATGAAGCCAGGGTTTTGCTACTTCCTGGTTGACAAAAATCGTCGGAGGGGGGCGGAGCCATAGGAGCAGCGATTGGTCAGACGGATTGAGAGGCGGGCCCTCTCTGCCCGCCCACATTTACCGCCTTCTGCTCGCTTCGTCTGTATGATCGCTGCAGACTGTCAATCAAGCCAGCCACGCCCCTTGCCCCGCAAAATGTTGACGATTTTTTAAAAATTCAGTATTGATTTATTTTCAGATTGGCCACCTGATCTCTGGATTTGACCATGAAAACTAATAAGAAAAAAATCCTGAGCTGTAGGAATGCAGTATTTGGTGATCTGTGATCACTTCTTTTCCAATTCCAGTCTATGGGAGCCAGCAGCTAGTGGACGTAGTGATATTGCAGGTTTTTGACACTTCTGGGTTGGCTTCATTTTCAGGGCCGGTTGCTACGTCCATCTTTTATACAGTCTGTGGTAAATATATTTTCCTGATGTTGGAGCTCCGTCGGGATATTTTAAAATCTACTTTTCCCTCTTCTACCAGCACAATTTGCACGTTATTTTGCACATTAGCTTCTTTAATTTTCCATAACGTAACACGTGTGAGCTGCTGGGTAAATAATCTGTCCATCTAGTTCAGTAGTAATCCGATTATCATCCCACGTGGACAAAATTTACACTCTTTATGAAATCATAAAGTCATTATTTGTGCAGGGTTTTTTTTGTTAATTGCTGCATAAACATGATTTTTCCATCACTCGACGCGATAAGCAGCCTCACATGAACGACAGATATGGTGGAGGGCATGTCGGACTAGAAGAAGACTTTCACTTTGTGCACATCAAGATAACGACCAAAGTTATTCCTTCAAATCTCAGCTTTCATCTTTCTTTTGAAGGCCGGACGGAGCAGCAGCAGCAGCAGCAGCAGCAGCTAAGACTTTGTGTGCACAGATGAAGATCCTTGAGACTATTAGCTCAGCATTCAGCTTTAGCGAGGAGACAATCAGCTTAAGGTCCATGTTTGGTTCCCGATCGCTCGGCTGACGATTTGAAACGAGCGCCGGTCGGGGCTTCGCTGGAATCCGCAACATGTTCGGCTGCGCGTTACTCCGCCGAAGCTAAATAGACGGCGTGCGTCGTGCTCCTGTTAACCTCTCCTAAATGGCTCTAAAATTAGAGGTCTCAGGTGAGGCGCGGTGTCATACTAGTTGAGCTGATTACGGGCGGCTTTAATTATTACTTTGCTGGCTAATGTGCCCGCTCTGCATGTTTTTTTCTCTTTTTTTATTACACCGTCTGAGAACTCAGACACAACAGATCAAAGACCCTTCAGGCCGCGTGGAGGAGGCAGACGATTTGTGCAGCTCCGACTGTACGCGACAAACAGGATTTCTCATTGTCTTTGCCGGTTGAGTTTCCTTGTTAGTCGCCAGTGTGATGGATAACAGTCAGTCCCTTGAATCTTAACTAACAGTCTGCAGACACAGAAAGGAAGGAAGGAAAAAAACCAAAATGTTGTTTTTGAATGTGCTAAAAAAGAAAGAAAGAAAGAAAGAGGGGAGAAAAAAAAAAAAAGCACACACAGTTTCTAATGGGGTCCTGTGTGCCTTGTTGCCGGAGTGATGCCATATCTCACGGCGAATGTGCTAATGGTTCATGGGAGTGAGAGGACGGAGCTGAGCCCAGCAGAGTAAACACACAGACAAAAGGGAGCCGTTAGAAGTGTGAAACGCATGCCTGGGCGCGCAGGTAGGCATTAGGTTTCACCCTGCACAGCCCCACGCCGCTCCGTGACAGGGAGGAGGCCATTTGCTTCTGTAGCCGGCAAAACAAACCTGCTGGAGGAGGAGGAGGAGGAGGAGGAAGGAGGAGGAAGGAGGAGGAGGACAGATGTGAGGAGATGAGATAAGGCGGTTTGTGGTCAGTCACAGTGACCATTTGCTGCTGGGTGGTGTTTTGTTTGTTTGTTTGTTTGTTTGGTTGGTTGGTGGGAGCTCGGGGGGTCCACCGGTGTGCCGGTCTGAGGTGGACTCAGTTAAAGTTTAGAACAACAACCGAGAAGACCAGTTCCTCCGTTCACACATGAATGGAGCCGACACACACTGGAATGTGTTTCATGGTGTCCCAGCTGAAGCACAGTTCAGTGGAAGCTGCAGCGTTTTACTGGAGTTTACAGGAGAAACTCTGATTTAACAAAACAGTTTAATTAGTCACAGCTTTCTATATTATTATTAATACTGTAACTCAACTGTACAACTCATGTCACATAAAACATTCACTGTAGTTCTGTGTCTTGTGTTTGTTTTGCTTGTTAAAGTTTCATGTTTCTTTGGAACAGTTTAGTTTCCTTTCTGTTGTTTTGTGTCTCATTTTTATTTGTTTTGGGTCTATTTTTTGCTGCTCAATGTCTGTTTTTGTCATTTTATGCCTTGTTTGTCTTGTTTTGTGTCTCACTTATGTCCTTCATGTCTCTTTTGAACATCATCGTCTCTTTACTGTGTCTCGTTTGTGTCATGTTGTGACTTGATTTGAGTCATTTTGTCTAATTTTTGTGGTTTTGTGTCTCGTTTTTTATCGTTTTGCTTCTTGCTGATGTTGTTTCATGTCTCTTTGGAGCAGTTTAGTTTCCTTTCTGTAGTTTTGTGTCTCTTTTTTTTTGTTTTGGGTCTATTTTTTGCCGCTCAATGTCAGTTTTTTGTCGTTTTACATCTCGTTTGTCTTGTTTTGTGTCTCTTTTGTGTCTCACATATGTCTTTCATGTCTCTATGTTGTGTCTCATTTGTGTCATTTTTCGTCTAATTTTTTGGATTTTGTGACTCGTTTTGATTCATGTTGTCTTGTCATCTAGTGTCTCTTTTGTCTCTTATTTTTCTTTTGCTTCTTGCTGATGATGTTTCATGTCTCTTTGGAGCAGTTTAGTTTCCTTTCTGCTGTTTTGTGTCTCATTTTTGTCGTATTGTGACTCACTTTTAGTTGTTTTTTGTCGTTTGGTGTCTGTTTTTTTTTGTCGTTTTGTCTTGTTTGTGACTCTTTCTTTTCTCACTTGTCCTTCGTGTCTCTTTTGAACATTATCGTCTCTTTACTGTGTCTCATTTTTGTCATGTTGTGACTTTCACTTTCATTTTGTCTTATTTTTGTTGTTTTGTGTCTCATTTTTTGTGGTTTTGCTTCTTGCTGATGTTGTTTCATGTCTCTTTGGACCAGTTTAGTTTCCTTTCTGTTATTTTGTGTCTCATTTTTGTCATAATGCGACTCAGTTTTAGCTGTTTGTGGTTTATTTTTTGTCATGTTGTGTCATGTTTGTGTTGTTTTGTGTCTTATTTTTCCTTTTACATCTCACCGATGTCCTTCATGTCTCTTTTGAACAGTATCGTCTTTTTGCTGTGTCACACTTTTGGCATGTTGTGTCTCATTTGTGTCATGTTGTGACTTGTTTTGAGTCATTTTGTCGACCGTCTGTCGTTTTGTGTGTCATTTGTGTTGTTTTGCTTCTTGCTGATGTTGTTTCATGTCTCATTGGAGCAGATTAGTTTCCTTTCTGTTGTTTATTGTCTGATTTTTATTTGTTTTGGGTCTATTTTTTGCCGCTCGATGTCTGTTTTTTGTCGTTTTGTGTCTCATTTGTGTTGTTTTCTGCGTGCTGTCCTTCATTATGTTGTGTCTCATTTGTCTTGTGTGTTGCTTATAGCTTTCTGTTTCATTTTTTGTTGTTTGTGTCTCATTTTGTCTCTAATTTTTACTTTTTTTTTGCATCACACTCTTGTTTTATATTTATCTGGGACAGTTTTGTTGTTTTGTGTCTTCATTTGTGTCATTTGCATCTCATCGGTATCACTTTCTCTCAGTTTTTTGTCGATGTGTGCTTTGTGTATAGTCATTTTGTGTCTCGTTTTTCTGTTGTGTGCTCCCCGTGTTGTTTCATATCTCTTCGGAGCAGTTTTCTCTCCTTTCCTTTATTTGTGTTTTTTGTCATACTGTCTCTTATCTTTTTTTTTGTGTATTTCTCATTTGTGTTGTTTTGCGTCTCACCTGAGATGTTTCACGTCTCTCCGGAACAGTTTTGTCATTTGCTTTCCCATTTGTGTCATCGCGCGTCGCTCGGTGTCTAATTTTTGTTGTGTTTTGTCAAACGTTGTCTCGGTTCGCGGCACCAGTTTCTATAACAGCCTGCCGTTAGCGCTGATTGTTGCTTCTGGCTTCGAAAAGCTTCAGATTTTACCTTTTTTAACCATATTCTGATAAAAGCTGCACGGCGCTGTTGACGTTTGGCCACGTTTAGTCCATTAACGCGGATGATTCGAGCCTTTAATATCACTTTAACCACGTGGGTGCAGAGTTTTAACGCCCGTTTGCACGTCGGTCCGATGACACGGTTCGCTCTGAGCCAGTTTTTGGAAATTTTCACTCCAACGGAAGCTTCCTGTTGCACTACAGAGAGCGAGTTTTCTGAAACGACGAGTCTCAGCACTCGGCGAAGCTGCTGCTTATCGATCCAACATCGTTTTAAAATCCCCACTGAGGTGTCACTTTGTGCTGCGGCAAAGTGAAAGAAAAAAAAAAAGAAGACACAACATTTTTAAAGATTTTCTTTTTAAAAAATGCCCAAAAGGTACAAACGCGCTCTTTGATGCGCGTCGAGAATATGTGAGGAGGTCGGCTCGGCTCGGCTCGGCTCGGCCCGGCCCGGCCCCTCCCTGCCGCTGAAATGGTTAGCATTGAGCTGCCATTAAGGGATTTCCCTTCTCGGGATTATTGACCTTCTGGGCTTATTTTCATGCGTGGGTTTCACAGCTTTGTCACATTTGTGCGGTGGAATGTAAATGCGGCAGCATGATGTGCCTTGTGACGCTGAAATCACAGCTCCTTTGTTTGGGACGCATTTCAGAGAGTCTCTTCTTCTTTTTTGTTTTGCTCCACAGGTGAGAGGATCAATGATGAGCATCTCTGAGACCAACTGGCTTGGACTTTTCTAATCAGAACCTGTTAACCACGACACAAAACCTGCCACCAACCATCACCGCCAGGCGCCATGGCATGCTCCCTGTGGAAACTACAAACCTTCTGCTGGTTCCTCATCACTCTGGCTCAAGTCCACTCCACAGAGGGTAAGTACACATCACAGAGTTGTCTTTGTTTGCTCTAAAAACAGATTTGCTTTCGCGCCAGCATCTTTGGAATTGATGCTTTTTCCGGCGCCAGGTTCTATTTTTTTTTATTTATTTTGCTATTGTCTTATTTAGGAATATAGCATTAGCAGTGAGATAGTGACTGGAGCCAAATGTGCTCCTGCGAGCGCCGGCGCTGCAGCTCGGAGGACGGTGGGCGCAGGCGGACGGGGGATAATCTTGAGTGGTTTCATTAGTTGGTAAATTGTGATTTGTCTGAGATTTTCTGCTTGAAAGCGTCAGTTGTTCCCAGTGGCATCGGAGCTGGATCCATTTGTAAATTCCCTGCTAAAATGTTCCGTCTCGTGGCAGGCGCGCGCAGATTTCACGCCACAAACAGGAAATAAAAAAATAAATAAAAGCAAACATAAAGCCTGAATGTGTTTTAATCGTGGCGCGTTTAGATCTGATTAAATCACTCTCATCTGTAGCATAATTACGAGATTTGTGCATCTAAAGCCGCGTCATGTGACAGCCTGCATCCTGCACATGTTAGCGTTTAATCACACTGGAGGTGCGTCGCGTTGTGTGTTTGATGACTGGAGTTAGAAGAAACCAAAGTTGGCATCTTTTTTTTTTTTTTGTGCAGATTTGGTTGGCTGCCGCTGAAGCTTTGGCCCAGTGTTCACTGTACCTGCTTTATTAGCTGTTATTTTAGAAAAAAAACATCATTAATGTGAGATGGATGAGGATTTCTCAAGATGCTCAGCGAGTCACACTGGCACAATATACAAAACCGTACGTGTTTTTTATGTAGCATGGCGGTTCTGTTTGATCTTTCATAATAAGAAATGTAAAGACAGTCACAGAAATGACTTAAAAGTGGCTGCAATGAATCAAATGTTTCCTCATTTTGATTAAAGTTGTCAAAACCCCGAACGTCAGCAAAGATCCAAGTTTGTAGTTTGGACTAAACTCTTAGAACTAACTCTTCTACCTAATTAAATGCATCCTTAGTTAATAAAAATGTATTTTTAATGGGTTTTGTTGGCATATTAATGACGTTAATTGCATTAGCTTAATATTTTGTGACATTTAAAGTCAAAATTAGCTCGATAACTTCATTTTTCTCCACCTTGAATTCAGGGTTTCAAGTCTACTGTCTCACTTCACTAAAATTTTACAGCTTAAAAACTTAGAACATGAAGCCAGGGTTTTGCTACTTCCTGGTTGACATCTTGGATTTTTGGAGCCAGTGACGCAAAAATCGTTGGAGGGGGGCGGAGCCATAGGAGCAGTGATTGGTCAGACGGATTGAGAGGCGGGCCCTCTCTGCCCGCCCACATTTACCGCCTTCTGCTCGCTTCATCTGTATGGTCGCTGCCGACTGTCAATCAAGCCAGCCACGCCCCTTGACCCGCAAAATGTTGATGATTTTTAAAAAATTCAGTATTGATTTGTTTTCAGATTGGCCACCTGATCTCTCGATTTGACGATGAAAACTAATAAGAAAAAAATCCTGAGCTGCAGGAATGCAGTATTTGGTGATCTGTGATCACTTCTTTTCCAATTCCAGTCTATGGGAGCCAGGACTTTTTGGAGCCAGCATCTAGTGGACGTAGTGATATTACAGGTTTTTGACACTTCCGGGTTGGCTTCATTTTTCAGGGCCGGTTGCTACGTCCATCTTTTATACAGTCTTTGGGTTTAACTAGCGGTGGGACGGAGTTAACTTCTAGAGTCCACGTCCTGGTGTAGGTGACACATCAACCCTCCTCTGACAAACAGAGTGAGTCAGCAGCAGCTGCTGCTACGTGAGCAAACCAACGCTCCAAATCAGGGTAAACACGGCAGCAGGAATCATTTATTATTCTGACGTTTGTCATTCACCTTTTCCTCCTCGAATCCTCCTCCTCCTCCTCCTCCTCCTCCTTCCCATCTCAGACACCGAGATCCGCCGAGAAACAGTTCATTACAAACAATATCCCCAAGTAAACATGCTTCATTAAACTGCGTCTACGCCTAATATCTTTTTAATGCATTTTTATAATTGAATTAAATGGGTTAGTGGAATGCTGTAAATAGTTTAAAGTTAGTTTTTTTTGTGCCGCTGATAGAAGAAATATCCACACAGGAGGGACTGAAGCTGTGGCTGTGATGGATTGTGCTGCTCTCTGACCTCTTTCTATATACGAAGCAGGCCTCGGCCTTCACATCTGACTCCACGAGCGCGTCTTTGTCAGGCAGCTCCAAGATCCTGTTTCTCTGCAAAAACTCAGCGTATACATCAGCTGTTAGAGGAGCCGTCAGTCATGGTGTTACTGCAGCAGCTGTAATGATGATTCTGTTATAATGCGGCTGCTTTCACAGATATTTGAATAGAAATCTTGGAAGGAAACTTTCAGTCGGCGGCGAAGCACAGGGGACTTGTTACGACACAGAAGCTGTGATCAGTCGCAATGATACGAGAACAAATATCGTCTGGGGTTTTGGTTATAATGTACGATTCAGACGTCGTCTCGGTTTCATTAAAGAGACGTGAAGTGAAGTTTACGCGTCATAATTCATTAAGATGGCCGCACGAAGCCCTCTGTGGCTCTGAAGGGAGAAAAAAACGAAGATTTTAACGGCGGTGTTTGTCCCCTGATGCACTGATTTTGACTGATAGTTTTTAAAAATTTTCCTCTTGAAGTTTCCTAAATTAATAAAGGTGAAAGGCAGAGTTTTTGGAGTTCCCTCTGGAGTCTGATTCATAGTCAGATGATCGGGTTTAGCGTTGGCATCGATGTTCATGGGGCTGGACGTGAGCGCTGATGCTGATTTTGTGATTGTGTTGACATTCTCTCGTTTAGTTTGAGATCCAGAGTTCCTGAGTAACTTTTAATGTCGCTTCTCTGCCTGACGAGGCGGTTCTGACGAGTCGGTAGATGTTCGCCACCGGAAACGAGACGACTCTGAACTTCCTGAACGTCGTCTTTATTCCAACACTTTTGTTCATTTTTTGTTCATTGCCACAGTGCTGTTATTTATGCTGTCAGTCAAAACCAGAGCTGCGCTTAATTCTTAAAATTTACCAGCTTTTACAAATTGAAAGCCTTTTGGCACAGACTGTACAAAAGATTGTTTACATTTTTTTAACATTTTGTTTTTAACAATTTACTGTTATCTTAAACATTTACCCCCGTTTTGTTACATTAGTGATAATAACTATTAATGTACACATTCAGCATAATAAGACAGGTCAGAACTGTCAGTAATGTCAACATCATATAGCAAAAATTATTTAACAAATATCTGTCAACATTTGAAAGACAAATGATGTATATTAAGGATAAAATAAAGGTAATTATTTTAACACTGTTAATTTATAAATTCCCCCATTTTGTTAGATTTGAATTAGAGATAATAACTATTAAAATTACAGAAAAAAAATATTAATTGACAAGCTACACATAATAAGAAAGGCCGAAACTTTAAATGATATCATGCTGTATGATATCTGGCAATATTTTAAGGACAAATTGTGTATGTTAAAAATCTTGTTTTTTTTAAATAAAAAAAAGGTAAATATTTTTAAAACTGGTATTTTATAGATTTTCTCTGTTTTGGTAAATGACAGATAAAAGTATTAGTTCACATGTTTAACCATAAAAAACAGGCCAACTGTAAATTATGTCCACATCTAAAACAATAATTTGTTCTTTTACTATTTTCAACAGTAAAATCACAGCATTTTCCCTTTATTTAAATAAGCTACGACATCATTATTTTACAGATATTTGCTTGTATTTTTGGGTTAAAACGGCCGTGTTAGGGATTAAAAAATTAAAACTGTTAAATACTTTACTTGAAGATAATATCTAGAAATACTTTTTTTTTTTTTTTACAATGTAAATGTTTTTTTGTTTTGTTTAAAAAAATAAATAAAAATTGCACTTAATGTCCACATCGAAAGTCTGTATTTTTACAATTAGTACAATTAGTTCTTTTGCGACGCTTGACCATAAAATAACACTCTTTATTTTGTATTTAAATCAGAAAAAAATGGATTTTATGGATACCTGCAGTTATTTTAAAAATATATATTAATAATTTTAAAAAATTGTAAATAAAAAAAAGATTAATTTACGTTTCCTGTTAACATCCACGTCAAAAATCAGTATTTTCACAAACAGTAGTTGTGTTTTTTCCTTGCTCGAATGGATTTCATGTATTCATTTATTTCTTCCGGCGCCGGGCTTGTTGCATGTGAAGGCAACGCACCTCGAACATTTATCCACTGAATAACGTTAACACGGATGACCATTTGAAGGTGTTGAAGTCGGCGAGGCGGGTCGTGGAGCGCTGCAGCGTCCATCCATCTCCGTCTAAATCTTTGATATTGTTTTGCATCAACACAAGTTTTGCCCTCTGGCATTCAGGGATCGTCTTTGAAGCAGCAGGTTTATTTCCTTTTGGTGTCCCTGCGGATGTCACCATAGCAACCCTCCAGAAATGAGGTGAAGGTGTAATTTAAGAAGTAATAATATTTTTTTCGCAAAAAAGCAAAAAGCAAAAAAAAAAAAAAACACAGTGATGATTTACCCTTGCAAGACATGATTAAACTGGCTCACATGTCTTCCAAAATAATTTAGCCAAGTCTGGGGGGGTTGAAAGGATTTGTATATCTCAGCGACTGAATAACAATTCGCACCTCGCTCAGCCTCTCGCTCCCTTCAAAGGCTTTTCTCGAAGATTTCTCAGAATTATGGGGCGGCAGAATTAGAGAGCAGAGTTGGGGTTCTGTGTCAAGAGGAAGGGAGGTGAAACTTTGTACCGTGTCGGACGGACAGCCAAGAAAGCAAAAAAAAAATGGGTTACAGGAGCAGCAAAATACGAGCGGTTAATGACACAGTGTTGACTCCTGTCTGGATCATGAGGCTTTTATTGTTTTATAGTCCTGCAATGAGTCCACAGAAGTAGGCCTTAAAAACACTATTAGAAGTAGGTCAGGGAGGATT